TTCTTTAAAAATGTTATACACATCCTATTGTAATTTATCATACAAATTGGTTGAGTTTAAGTTTTATTATTTTTACCAACATTTTTAGTGTATAAAATACTTTAACCTGTCATCACTCAAATTTTAGGACTTGTCATCTTTGGCCAAAATTATTTGGATTATAAACGATTAATTTCGTAATCCATATTTTCTGAATTCCAGATTGGAATAGCACTGCTTATGTAACAAGAGACAACTTCAATGTATCCGATATCCCAAACAGGGCGTCCGATATTTTACCCCTCGTCCTACAATACTTGACGCCAGACTGGGTCTCTTTCTTTGGATTAGGAGCCGTTTCGGCTGCTGTAATGTCGTCTGCTGACTCTTCAATTTTATCTGCCAGTTGTATGTTTGCTAGAAACATCTACAAAATGATATTTCGACAAAAGGTATATTGTTTAAATTAGAATGTATATTTTACTGCAAAATTAATTATTTTATTGCATAGCTTCTCGTCAATTTAGCAATTTGTTCCAAGTCTCTTGCGCTTTAGATTAAAACAATTATTTTTCTTTTTCGTACAATTCCAGGCTTCTGAAAAAGAAATCATATGGGTCATGAGATTTGCAATATTCGGTGTTGGGGCTTTGGCGACAGTGATGGCGATTAATGTCAAGTCCGTCTACACTTTATGGTATCTTTGTTCTGACCTCGTTTACGTGGTGCTATTTCCGCAGCTTCTTTGTGTCACTTACCTCAACTACGCCAACACTTACGGGTCTCTACTGGGATACGTGGTCGGTATGTTTTTCCGGATAGCCGGAGGGGAACCAACTTTAGGCATTGATGCTCTAATTAAGTATCCTTACTATTCAGAAAAGCACGGTCAGATGTTCCCCTTTAAAACCCTCTGCATGTTGATGTCACTTGCAACCATTATTTTTGTTTCTCGTTTGACTCACTTTTTGTTTGAAAGAGGAATCGTGCATCCTCGTTTTGATGTGTTTAAATGTCGCACTGTCAAAGACATTGAGGACGAAACAGCTGAACCTGAGAATCAAAATGACGTAAAGTCTGCGGAAACTTTTGTTATATATAACTCCGAGTTTACAAAGGTTATTGAGGAAGTAAAAACAACCTGACTTATTGACTTCTTATTATGATTTATAGATTATGAGAATACAATAAAATTTATATAATGTATTCCATAAAAAAAACTTTTAGAATTTTCTTTGAAAAAATATCAGTATTGAGGACAACGTTTTTAAGATGCGTTAGTTGTACATTCAGGTCTAAAAAATGAAAGTAAAATTCTTCGCACACCCTGGGTTCTTCAGGAGTTCCCAGTTATGAATCATTGGTTGTTCAAGAATATATTCGACACTCGTGGTAATTGAGCAGTGAGGGATGTTGATCAATGGTTGGTGTATGTTCTAAAATAGTTATCCCACAGGGAAAAAAGTACTCCAGAATTAATCTGATCTTGCATCATATAAAACAGATCTGACATAATCAGGCATAAAATCATAATCAACAGTAAAATGTGGACAGTGCAAGTCTGCTAGATATGTTGTCATTTCTATGTAGAAATTAACCATAGTAATCTTAAGCCTATTGAGTGATTTAATATCTAATAGTTCCATTTTACAACATTTTCTGCTGATGATAATGCAAAAATAGGAATAAGAATGCGATTGCTATAGGACTGTGTTGTGAAAGCTTTAACATACTTTACCCATAAAATCAAAGTAGCACTCTTTGGTATTTTGGTATTGATTTCTTAAACCCAGATTTCACGATTTTCCCAAAATCTTGCTTCTTAAGAGCTATATGGACTTATACTGTATTTCTGTAAGAACAAAAACAGGCACGTAGCATCGTTTTTGAAAGGGGGGGGGCAGCCAGAGAATTTTTTTTTACTTACAATGTATCAGTAAAAGATGACAAGCCAAAAAAAGGGGAATTGCCAAAACACGAAAATCCTATTTCGGGGGGGGGGGGGGGGGGGGGGGGTTAGTGGCCAACCTTTTTCAAGGCCAACTTCCTTTCACTTCCAATTTTTTTGCGTACAATACTACAGCCCCCCCTGCCCCCCCCCCCCCCCACTTGCTACGTGTCTGAAAAGGTAGTGAAAAAGCAAATCTGTGATGTGGCACGCTCTGTTTATTTATTTGAAATTTTAAAAGAGTAGTAGAGATAGCAGAGTTTGTGCAGCAACGTTTTCTGAGACTTGGTGTCAAATGCTTAAAATGATACTGAGTTCATTTTCCAAAATTCACAGTGAAAAAATTCTCTTTTATGAGCACGATAAATTAGCTATCTGTTCTGAGAGTTATTTTATTAGCAAATTTTGTACCTTTTAATGCAAAAATTCTTGATAGATTTTAAAATATTATTAAGTTACAAAATAATTGTTTAGCTGATTTTATTTAACATATTTGCAATTATTTATTGTTCCTAATTAAAAAAAAAGATACATATACGAGGCCAGATATGTTTGTAAAGCAATGCAGTAAGTAAGTGTGTGTGTGTGTGTGTGTGTGTGTGTGTTGGGGGACGAATCAGATAAAATTTTAATTTAAAGATTAAATAATTTAAATCAAAATTTAAAAATAGAGGGACTCAAATCACAAAACAGAATGAGAAGTTAAGAACAATAATCTTTCACTTCTAAACTGTTTTAAATTTTCATTAATATAATAAAAAGATTAAACAACAAATGTATTTAATGAAATTAGTTGTACTTAGAGGGATTTTATAAGTATTATTTTCTCTTCTAACACCCTGCAAACATTTTTGGTAAGGATACTAGTAAAGATTTCAATACTTCAATCACATTTTTTTTTTGGTTGAGAAAAACTATATATTTACTGAGCACCATATATTTATTTTAAAACACTGTTTTGTAAAAGAATTCTTAATTTATTGACATCCATAGACTTCGCCTCATGAAACCCCCGATAAGGCTTCAACTTCACAGAGGACTAAAATTCCTGGAACCTGATGATGAGCCACAGCCACGTTTCTGAAATGAATTTTTAACCCATAGTATAATACATGTAATATTAATAATATTCTGGGTTTTAAAATTTACTTCCGAAACAAGTCACTGTGGAAGAGCCTAAAAAAATACTTTTTACGGAAATTCTAGGATCCGTTCCTTATTTGTAATCAATGAATCATCCAGTTGCACCCAAACTCCGTGTCTGTCTTTCAGTTTGAATAAATCAACAGGTACCTGAATTTTTATATCAATCAGTCACTTAAATAAGCCAAAATATCCAAAAATTCTATCCGCTTTAAATAAAAATTTATCAGTCGGCGAGTCGTACAATAAGCCAAATATCCAAAATTTAATTCTACCCCTTGTAATATAGAAACATAGAGGGGATATAAAAATTTTTATTTGTCTTTTTGAGCGACTGATTGATAAAAATCCAGGTACCTGTGAATAATGAACCTTTACCATAAAAACTGGAATATTATAAAAGGAAGAGACAGTCGGTGAAAATCTTCTTACTGAGCAAAGAGGGATAAATCTACTTTCTATTTCGACACAGCAGTGTTCCCGCCATTTTAATAGGAGTCAGTGATGTGTTTTGGTCTTCATCAGGAAACGGTAAATATTGTTGTTTTTATACAACATACTTGTAATGCATTCAATTTTATAGAATCTGCTAAATATCCGTCGCAAGGGTTATTAGGAAACTCTTAGTCTTTATCTGTTTATATCGCATATAATTTCAATGTAAATTTTATAACGGAATACATGTATTTTTAACACGTGTCACTAAGAACTAACGTTTTGCATTCAGGGATTCAATCATCGTTATTCTACAAAAATACAAAAGATAGGAATTAAAATGTTAATTGTTGAATTTTTAAAATATATTGGTATATAGTACTAATTACACAAGATTATACAGTGAAATCGTCAACTCTCAATCAACATAGCCACGATAAACATTGATAAATTCATGGTTCTATTGTTAGGTATTGTTAGTCCTTGAACTTGTTCAGTGCGTCTGCGGAAGAAGATGGGTTTATTTTGCGTGTGACCTACAGGAATCATGTGTTTGAAACATTTACAGTTTAAATGTCCACGATCTCGACACAAATTTTGTATTTACTGCCACCCGGTAAATTCAAAATTTACAATATGACAGAATTTATAAAGTTATACACATCGAAAAACTCACATGTGCTTAGTAACTATAGACAAGACAACCAGACCCCCCCCCCCCCCATTGTACACTCTGGATCCAAAGATAGTTTTATTCACCTTTTAAAATAAATTTCTGGGACACATTTACAATGTATTCCATATGAAAAATAAAAAAGTAACGTTTAAGAAATAAATCATACCGGTGATAACGTTAATTCTACGTAATCGAGGACTGGTACGCATACGACAGAGTAGCTGCTGACTAGCACATTAATGCATGACACTATTATTATATTTCCATTTCATTGTGAAAAAAAAATAATTTAGATAATAAAAATTAGTCTAATGAATTTAAATTACACGATTTTGTCAATTGCAATAGTCCCTGCCCACTGACGTCAAACACAGAGACAGTCGCACGAGAATTACATGAATTTTGGACCTACTTTCCGTCAGCCACAAAAACAGACGCACGAGATTTACGTGCACATGAGGCCTCCTTTGCACCTGACCACAGGCACCCGACATTACTTATTTTTCTTTTAATTAAAAAACCCTACCTAATAATAAACAAGGATTATTAAGTAGGGTATATTTGTAATTGAAAGAAAAATAAGTAACGTCAGGTGCCTATGCTCCTGACGTATCGCTTGGCGAAATTTACAGGCCGGTAGAATGACATAGAAATCAATTCCACCGACTTTCGAAGAGTTATCACAGAGGGGGAAAATAGAAATGAAAATATTCCTCAGAGATAAAATTACATGTACTAGAATTGAAATTTGCATTTTATTTCACATCATTGTGGTAAAATATTGGAACTTTTATCTGTAGATAAATAAAACACATTCCGATGGATCTGCATTTGAGCGCCCAGGATGTACCCCGCTGTGACTTGTGTGAGAGCGCCTTAGCCTCCACTCACTGCGACCTCTGCTACGTCAACCTTTGCAGGCCTTGCATTGGTGAACATATCGGGGATGAATATACCAAACATAAAATTGTCCCGTTCAATCAGCGGAAGTCCACTCTGATCTACCCAATGTGTGCAACTCATGGAAGTCAGAGATGTGAATTTCAGTGCAATGAGTGCAACATATTTGTGTGTTCACACTGTGTTTCGTCTGAAATACACAATGGGCATACATTTTCAAATCTGTCTGAAATCTACAAATTCAAAAAAGAAATCGTAGAAAAGGATAAAAGTGAACTGGAAAGCATTATCTTTCCTACATATGAGACCATAATTACAGAGATAGAATCTGGAGTTGCCAAAATAGATGGGGAATATGAAAACCTTTCAGAAGCAGTCATTAAGCAAGGAGAAGAACTGCAGAAAGAGATTGAAAATGCTGTAGAAAAAATGAATGGGGAAATTAAAGAGATGAAAACTAAACACGTTGATATTCTGCATGATCATTTAGAAGAAATGAGGAAGATACGTTCTGATGTTCAGCAATCACTTGAAACTCTTAGAGAAGTCACAGAATCAAATGATGTAGCCCTGGTAGTGGGATTCAAATCGAGAAACAAGGAATTCTTTAGACTTCCTCAAAAATTTGAAGTAATAGGACCAAAGTTTGATCCCAAAGCAATAGACATACAACAGCTTAACGAAGTATTTGGGACTTTATTACCCTTTTCAACTAGGTCAGTGGAACATGGCTACACATTAAAAATGCCTGTCAGACATCTTCTGGATGACCCAGAACTCATCGGGGCTGTTGACACAGGGAATAGTGAGATCTACAGTGTTACTGGTTACAAAGATGTCAACATCTGGGTTAGTGGAAGATGTAGCACCATGAAGTGCTATGACAACCAAGGATCACTGATAAAATCAATAGAAATCAAGTCAGATGCAATAAAAATCGAGTCAGATGCATGGCCAAGTGATATAACCATGACAAGTGATGGTCATTTGATTTACTCTGACTGGTCGACAGGAACAATTAACATGATAGAAAATGGCCTGGAAAAGGAAATCGTCTACCTAGAGGAATGGGAACCTCAAAATCTCTGTGTCACCTCATCTGGCGACCTCTTAGTAACCATGAACAGTATTGACGAGTTGGAAGAAGACGGGAATGAAGCTTCAGAAGAAGAGATAGTGCAGTGCAGAATTGTACGTTATTTACTGACGGATGCTAGAGAGAAACAAATTATACAATTTGATGACAAGGGAAATCCTTTATTATCGGGAAACCGTAGTAGTAAATATTTATGTGAAAACAACAACTACGACATCTGTGTGGCAGACTCTGAAGCTGGCGAAGTCGTGGTGGTAAACGAAGAAGGAAATCTCAGATTTAGGTATAGCGGTCATCCGTCGGCTGTGAGGAACCAGCAGTATCAACCGAAAGAAGATTCCAGAAAGATCAACACATTCAACCCTATCGGTATAACCACCGACAGCCAGAGCCAAATCCTGACAGCGGATTGTCCGAATCATCTTATCCACATCTTGGACAAAGATGGACATTTTCTGCGTCTGATCGATAATTGTGATCTGTACACTCCACATGATTTGTTTGTGGACAAGAATGACATCCTTTATGTAACAGAACATTGCATTGGGAAAGTAAAGAAAGTCAAATATTTGGAGTAAGCATACGCCTTGCTGTTTATCATTTTATGTATTTACAAACTTTCTGTATTATGTTCCTGTAAAATAGATATAATAAAGCAAAAATGCTTGTTTTATGCCATTTTTTTATTTTACTTTTTTATATATTGAGGAATAGACCCTAACTTTCAAAAAAAGTATGTAGAGTACAGTTGCATAGTCATTTGCTTCACAGAATGAGGACTGAAATGTGTTCAGTCATTTACAAAATCTGTGTTAACTACAGGTTTGTACGAATACTTGAGATAGATGACCTGTCGCAGCTGTTGCAGAAAAATACACAACCTGTGTAATTTTTCAAACAGTGACCAGCATTTTCTTTACTCGCAAAATATTACAAGCAACAAAACTCTGTAAATGATGAAATATGAAAGGAACGGAACAGCGTTGCTTAATATAAATGTACGATAAGAGTTTGAGCCTTAAACTTTTTATTATTTATAACAGTCAGAATTTCCTCTGTCAGATTTCTAATTTCCCATATTTTTATCTACTATAAAAACTGAATGATAAGAACTCCAAATTATTTATAGACACAATTTACTTTTGTTGACCTTATTCTAATGGGATAAATATTGAATGAAGTCAATGAT